TTGATCTTCTCAAAGAACCAACTCTTTGTTTCCTTGATTCTTTGTACTGTTTTCCTAGTTTCTACTTTGTTGATTTCGGCTCTCAGGTTGATTATTTCCTGGCGTCTACTCCTCCTTGGTGAGTTTGCTTCCTCTTGCTCTAAAGCTTTCAGTTGTTCTGTCAATTCTCTAATGTGACTTTCCTCCAGTTTCTTCATGTGAGCACTTAGTGCTATGAACTTCCCTCTTAGCACTGCTTTCAGGGTGTCCCATAAGTTCGGGTATGTTGTGTCTACATTCTCATTAAATTCTAGAAAGTCTTTGATTTCTTTTTTTATTTCTTCCTCAACCTAGGAATGGTGCAATTGGGAGTTATTCATTTTCCACGTAAATGTAGGTTTTCTGCAATTCGTATTGCTGTTGAATTCTAGCTTTAATGCATGGTGGTCTGATAAGATACAGGGGGTTATTTCAATACTTTTGTACCTGTGGAGGTTTGCTTTGCTGCCAACTATGTGGTCAATTTTTGAGAAGGTTCCATGTGGCGCTGAGAAACAATTTGTTTTTAAAACAAAAGAACAAAGTTGGAAGTTGCTCATGACCTAATTTTAGCATTATAAAATTTGGATGTAGTGTTATACTACACTTCACACCTCTTTATCAAAGACATAAGTAAGGAAACCAAAAGACTGGCCACAGCTGTAGACAATACCTACAACACAGACATCTGACAAAGCTCCTACCCTCAAAATACAAAGATGCTGTGACTCATCCAGAAGAAAAGTTTATTTAAAAGTAGACAAGTTCACCAAGAAAACACAGGAGTAGCAAGCAAGCACATACAATGTAGTCAGTACCAGCAGTTGACTAATGCAAATTTAAAAGATAGATGCCTAGCAACAATTAGAATGACTGAAACTTAGAACAGGAATAGAACCAAAGAAAGAAGGAAATGTCCTTGTCACACATTACTGATGGAAACTTGACAATGACAGTCTCCAGAGGAGACTTTGGCAGTTTCTCCATCACATGTCCATTATCACATGGCCCAGAAAGTCCACGCTTAGTTATTTACCCTCAAGGAAAGTAAAGCATATGCCTGCATAACAGCTGTCAAAACCAAATGACCAGGGCCTGAAGAGATGGCTCATCAGTTAAGAGTGGTAGCGAGTTTTCAGAGGACCTGACTTTGGTTACCAACACCCATGTTAGACAATAATAAATATAAATCCTAAAATATCCAACTGTCCAAAACCATCTGGAAATATTACCCAACAAGAGAAAGCAACTACAATGGTTTGAATTATTCCATGAAGAAACTGGAAATAGACATAAGAATGCATATCTTCTTATTCTCTCAGATTTCCTGATTTGCTGTCTTTTAAAGAAGCTGCTTTTAAAGAAGCTCTATATCTTCTAGTTTTAGCAAAGGTGACCTATTTTCTACTTGTCTCAAGGACACTGCTAAATTTTCTTTCCCCCACCCTGATTTCATTTCTATCACTACATTGTGAAATTGTATGGTGTTTTTTCTATTAATTTCTTATTTGCTAGATATTTTCCAATATTCATTAAAAATTATTTGACAGGTACTCATTCTTTATGTCTAGGATTAATTTAGACATAAATTTTAATCTATTAGTATTTTCTGTTGAGACTTTTTCTCTCTTATTTAGAATTTTCAATACACAGAGAGGTCCGTTAAGCATTTAATTACAGTTTTCTAATATTTTTGAGTCTTAGTATTTCATGTTTTTTCTTTAAATCTGTTGAGACAGCAGGTAATAGTTGCATATATTTGTTATTTAAAATTAATTTAAAGTAAAATTTTCAGTTATTCAGTTACTTTTACCATATTTTTATAACTTATTTGTAGAAAATTTTATGTTCAATTTAGAGAAATTTTGAGCAATTTAGGTAAAGCTAAGCAGCAAGTGCTATGACTATCCATATACACCCCCCCACACCCAAGACAACAGCTTTCACCTTAGCACTCCTCAGTGAGATCTTTGTGAATATGGAATAAACAGACAATAGCACCAGCATCACTCATGGTGCCCAATGAAAGTGGGACTTGACAAAGAAATAATAATATATGTGTGCTCTTGATGGACACATAAGTTTCACTGCCCTAGACTAGATTCCAACCTGGGCTACCACCAACTGTTTGAAACTGGTATTGTCCTGGCCACATCTCAAGGTGTATTATGATTTAGAGTAGAAGATTTCTACCACAATGGAAAGTTCTTTTGGACATGTTTCTTTGCTCAAACTATAGGGAAAAGAAATGGAACCCTTTGCAGCTATCTCTCTGCACAGATCCATCCCTTCTCCCTGGATTACCATGGTACTTTATCTACATTTGTTTAGAAACTCAGTTTCCTGCTCAGGCACTTCTTCAATGTGTGTCCATTAGCAAGTGATTTAACCCTTCTGACTTTCAGTTTCTTCATCCTAATTACTCATTAATCTGGTGCAAGGATTAAAGTAGGTAAGCAAGGTAAGACAAATTGAAACATTCATCATACTAAGTCCTCGTTTGTAAACTCTTGTGGGTTAAAGTCTGTCCTTACTAAGTTTGACTACATTACTCCAAAGACGCTCCCTGAAAGCAAAGCTAATCATCTCTTTACCTGATCTGGATTTATGTAACCCAACAGTAGATTTGCCGCTTTTATATCACCATGAACATATTCATTTTCATGTATATATTCCAGTATGTCCAGCTGTGAAAAGAAATCAATGAGATCAGTATTAATGTTTTACACTACAATAATATGGTTTATTTCCACACACGATAAAATAATGTATCTCACGATTATTGATTATTCTAAAATACCATAATTTCTGGTTGCTCATTCCATCGTCAAGACATCTATGGTAAATAGTCGTAAGTTAATTCATCAATCAATAATTAAGATTCAAATCTTGAAGACATCACAACAAAATATTATGCCTCTGATCATTATCCTGTGTGATAAAAAACTCTTAGGCATCATTAAAGCCCTGGAACCTTGCATGTCAAATACACAGACACACACACATGCAAAGAAAGAGAGAGAGAGACAAGTATATGAGAGAGAGAGGTGGTCTATAAACACTGACTAGGAGAATAGACAGAAGAATAGATAGGAAAATTAATTACTTTCCACATCACAACCTGGCATGAGCTGTTTCATTCTACTTATGATTAGGGGTGGGAGGAGACCCAATCAACACATTCATAAATAAGTTAAATATGTGGCATGATCAACAAATGAATGCATGCATGGTCATTTATGACTACATTGCTTCATAGTTAACAATAAGTGTCTGTGATCCATTGCTGTAATTAATTGTTGCCACCCCCACAACTTACACTTAAAATATTTTAAATCAAGCCATACCATATTTAGTATGAGAAGGCATCTATTTGGCCACAATTTGTAATTACAAATGTAACAGACAAAATGTTATTCTTGCAGCCATACAAGCTTGTTCTGATATGCAACACCAAGCTGTGAAGGAAAACTGAGTGTAATGGCAATGGCCAAACACAGCATAGCCTGTCATCTGCAGAGCCCATGGTTATCAATTTCACCAAAATCCTTTCTCCTCTCTATAACTGACATTCCTAGGCAATAATCCTTACTTTCTCATAATATCATAAAAAGCAAAACAAGTAAATATTCTAAAACTGAGGAATTTGGAGTGAACCATCGTGAACTCACCACCCTGATTCCAAGTTGCAGGACAGTCGACTTTTGAAAAGTGCCCTTCTGGTCTGAGAGCTTCTGCTGCAAATCTACTCCCAGTCTTTCCATTACCATGAACCTGTAGCTGTTAGGGGGTAGCAGAAAAGAGATCTTCCTGAAATTAATGCTGACATTATCTCTTAAAGAATTTGAAAGGAGGACAATGCCTCCCACCTGACAACCAAGGAGAATCAGTCCAAGCCGCTGGAGGACTGGTACACAATAACCCACTATCCTCTGTGAAGTAGCTTAGTGTTTCCTATACAGTTCATTCACTAGCACTGAGAAATTACTACTGTCTCAGGTAATGGAGAGAATGGTGCTGCACACTTTCTCTTTTAGTTGTCTATGGCAGCATAAATTGCTTTGTACAGATTGGTCCCCACCACCTTGCTATGTATCCTAAAAATATCACTGCCCATATAGAAAACGGTAACACTTCTTTATCTTACAAAACTATACTTAATTCATTGTTATAAACACTCATTTACATTTTATTTAGTGGTATGTGTGAGAAAGAGAGAGGGAGACAGAGAGAGAGAGAGAGAGAGAGAGAGAGAGAGAGAGAGAGAGAGAGAGAGAGACACTGTGGGTACAGAGGATAGAAAAGGCTGTCTATCCCTCAGTGCTGAAGCTGGTGGTGTTGCATGGGTGCTGGGAACTGAACTTGGTTATTAATAGGTGCACAGTAGCACTCTGAGTGGCTCCATCCATCTCTCCATTCCCACATACCTTTTTTGCAGCTTCACATCTTCCTTTTCTGTTCAGTAGTCTCCCTTCTTATTTCCCCTTTCTAGCACAACACTCCACATTCTACATCCACTATTACTGAAATACACAGCCCTTTGAGGGGAGGCTGTTTTACAAAGGTGAGACATTATTGTGGATGTTTTCACTATCCCTTTCATTATTACTAAGTTACCTTGTATACAAAGTTATAGGTTTTATGTCATTCATTTACCCCTTCCACTGCCCTCCTCAGTCACCCCTCAAATTCCTGCTGGTTCCCTTTCCCCTCAAATGTCCTTCCCCGTGCTTTCATGCCACATATATTCCATTGTCTTCTCTCATTCCCTCTCTCCCTTTTCATGCTGTCTTCCCCATGTCTCATAGGCCCCTTTTTATATACAGATGCACTGGGTTTCTGAGATGAGATGAAACATGAAGAACTGGTTTGGGCAGTGTAGCTTATTCTACTTAATGAATATTCTCCAGTTCTATCCGTTTTCTGATAAATGTCATGTTTGCACTTTCCTTATGGCTGAATAAAATTCTGTTGTGTATCACATTTCCATTATCTATCTGTTGATTGGACAGCAAGGCTGATTCCATTCCTGCATATATGAACAGTGCAATAATAAACATGGATATGTAAATGTCTCTATGGTATGCTAAGACGCCACCAGACAAACCGTCAGGAGTGGCATTGCTGGGTCATATGGTAGTTCTATTGTGAAAAACACCCATAATAATTTTACCTTGCCCTCACTAGTTTACACTGCCAATACAATAAAAGGAGTCCTCCTTCCCAGCACACTTGCTAGCCTCACTAGTTTACACACCACCACTATAGAAGGAGTCCTCCTTCCAGCACACTTGCCACACTTGTCATTTGTTTTGTTTTTGATGGTTTTGATTTGTGAGATATAATCTCAAAATAACTTTTCTTTTAAAATGTATCTTTGTTTACCTATATTTGTGCATGTTTCTGTGTCAATGTTTGCTACATGTATGTAGATGCAGAAGTCAGAAAAGGGAGTCAGATTTCCTGGAGCTGGAGATTTGGCAGTTATAAGCCACCCAACGTGGATGCTAGGAAGTGAACTTTAGTCTTCCACCAGGGCAGCAAGCACTCTTAGCCATGGAGTCATCTCCATGGTTAAGCACTTTTGAACTAGTTTGAATTTGTAATTCCTGATGGCTGAAAACACTAAACACTATTTCAAACTGACCATTTTTATTTCTTCCTTTCAAGAACTATCCATTGAGTTCAATAATCTTTTTGAACATGTAGTATTTTTACTGTTTAATCTCTTCAGTTAATATATTCTATATAATAAGCCTTTATCTGACAAAGAGTTGAAGAAGGTGTTTTCCTATGCAAAGGCTGTGTATTCACTAGGATGACTCCGTTGCTGTGTAGAAACTGTTTAATTTCATGAAACCCCTGTAGTGTTTTGAATGAAAAATGTCCCACATGATCTCTGGCATTCTGTCCCCAGTTCATGGTACTATTTGGGAGAGGCTTAGGTGATGTAGCCTTACTTGAGATAGTACATTACTGGGGGTGGGCTTTGAGAAAAATGTCTACAGTCCTTCCATTTCACTCTTTCTGAGGCTTTGTGCTCATGGTTAAGATGTGAGCTCTATAATTCCTGCTCCATTCCTACTGTCATGCTGGCTACCTACTGTATTTGCTGTCCTTCTATTATGGACTCCAACCATCTGGAACCAAAAGCCAATATAAACTCTTTCATCTCTAGGTTGCCCTGGTAACAGTGTTTTATCTGAACAAGAAAAGAGAAACTAACACAGTCCCATCAGTGAGCTCTGAGAAAGTCTTCCTGGGTTACTGGAGTCCTTGTCCATGCCTGGAAGAGTTTACACAAGGTTTCCTCTAGCAGTGTCAGGGTCTTTAGTCTTAAATTAAGGCCTTAATGTGTTTTGAGTTGATTTTTATGCACAATGACAGATACAACAATTCTCATCTTGTAGGTCAAAACTCCTTTAGGGAGTCAAATGACCCTATCACAGGGGTCACATATTAGATGTCCTGCATTATCAGATCTTTTAATTCATAACAGTAGCAAAACTAGTTGTGAAGTAGCAACAAAAATAATTTTATGGTCAGGGGTCACCACAACATGAGGAACTGCTTTAAAGGGTAGCAGCCCTAGAAACGTTGAGAGCCACTGGATAAGAATCTGTCATTCTTCTACATGTGTGGATAGCAAGCATTCCCAAAACCACTGATGAACAGAGATTTTCCCAATGTGTCTTTTTTGTACCAAAAAGTTAGTTAGTGTATTTGCATGGGTTTACTTCTGGGCCTTTATTTTATCTAGTTCATTGGTCTGTGCCAGGTGCCACACTTTTCATTATCACTTAATTATGGTACAATTTGAGATCAGATAGACTGACACCACTAGCACTAAGATTTCTACTTGGAATTGCTTTGGTTGTTTGGGTATTTTTTTGGTTTCATGTGAATTATAGAACATTTTTTCCTAGTTTTAATTCATAAGATGTACTTGAATTTTGATGGGGACAGTACTGAACCTATAGATCATATTTAGTAATAGAACCATTTCCACTATACTAATTATGGCAATTTGCACATGCAAGCTAGTCCATCTTTTAGTATCTCCTTCCACTCCTTTCTTCAGTCCCCAGAGGTTTTTCACTGTAGAGGTATTTCCCCTCCACAAGTGGACTTAGTCCTAGAGTGTTTTTTTTTAAGGTATTTAAATGGGACACCTCCTCTACAGATTGTTTTCTCAGCAACTTTGTTATGAACACATAACCTACTGATTGTTCAGTGTTGTGTCCTACTATCATGTGCTTATCATGCTTATCAGAGCTAAGAGTTTCAGGTGGAGACTCCCGTGTCTCATATACAGGATCGAATATTCTTTAAATGCGGATACTTTGAATTTCCTCTTTTTCTATTTGTTTCTGTTTCTCTGACTCCCTCTCTTTTTTTTTTCCTTCGGGTACTGACAAGACCAGAGAGTGGGGACCCTTGTCTTTCTGAATTTAGAGGACATGGCTTCTGTTTCTCCCCCAGTTTTTATAATGCTGACAGTAGAGATTCATATATAGCTTTAATTGTATTTCAGCATGTTCTGTCTCTTTCTGTTTTCTTCAGGACATTTACCATGAAGGGATGCTGAACATCATTAAAGGCATTTTGACACCGATTAAGATAAATATGTGATTTCTTAATGATCAGAGATTCCCTAGAGTCTACTTATGTGTGTATTAAACTTATTTATGTCCTCCATATGTTGAACAAACTATCCATCCTTAGAATAAAACCAACTTGGTCATAGTGCATGATGTCTTTGATGTGTTCTTGAATTTGATAAAAGTATCAGTGAGACCTTTTATACTTATGTTCACTAAAGATATTGGTCTGTTTTCCTCTTTTCTTTCTTTTGGTTTTGTTGTTTTTGTTTATTTATCTTTTTGTAGTCTTAGTTATTAGAGTATCATGGCTTTAGAATGAACTTAACAGTGTCCTTACCTTTCTATTGTAGGAGAGCTGGTAGCTACTTTCTCTCTCCCTCACTGCCCCCATCCCTTTCAGGTTTACAGGCTTTTCTTTAAACATCTGGTAGAATTCAGTAATGAACCCATTCAATCCTGGGAGCTTCTTTGTTGGAAGACTACTTTTTTAATAGCTGCTTCAATCCCAGTGTCACATATATGGCAATGTAGGTTTCAGGGGCTGGGGAGACAGTTTAACAAATGAGAGCACAGTCTTGGGAACCCTGGTTTGATTCCACACCCAAATGGCAGCTCACTGTCATCTATAATTCCACTTCCATGGAGTCTATACCCTCCCTCACCTGACCTCCCCAGGCAGTGCATGCATGTTGCATATATGATACATAGACATACATGCAGGCAAACACACACACACACACACACACACACACACACACACACACATTTTCAAAGCAGCTCCTAATGATGCTTGATGAACTGTTCCATTTGTTAATATGTAGCATTCCTTTTTATCACTTCTGGTTTTGGTTTGGATCTACTTTATCAAGCATAAAAATAACAGCTGTTCCCAGCTTCCATCCACTTTCTAGATTGACTTCCCTCCTCTGACTCAGTTGTGAATGTCTTCACCAGTGAAGTGTGTTTCTTAGAGATTAAAAAATAATTCAGTCCAGTTTTCTAATCTAGTCAGACACTGTGCTCCTTCTTATTAGAAATCTGGGGTCAGTGATGTGTAAAATTGTTCCTGTGACATTTTATAAATTCTTGTATTCTTTCTTGAGTAGTTCTCTGTTTTGTTATTATTTTTCTTTTCTTTCTCCACTATTAGTATTAGAGGTTTGGTAGTGTACTATATTGGACATGATGGATTTCTTCACAGCCCTCCTTGATTCATCTACTACATTAGTGAAATTTATTCTTTTCTTGGTGCCAAGACTGTCTTGTTCCTCCATATCTAGTTTTCCTTTAAGTCTTCTGTAAGCGCTGACTTCTTGGTCATGAATTTCCCTAGTTTGCTGTTGTCTTGAAATATCTTGTATTTCCTAACAGTTCAAAAGATAGATTAGATGAATATAGCAATCTTGGTTGGGAGTTATTTACTTTAAGAACTTAAAATATATTATCCCATGCTTTGCTAAATTTTAAGATTACTGATAAGAAGTCTGGAGTTACCCTGGATTCTGCCTTTGGAGATGAGTTGGGGTCTTCCCCTTATGTCTTGTAATATAGCTTTTCTCTAAGTTTGGCATTTTAACTATAAGGTGTTAGTCCTCAATTTACTTCTCTGGATGGGAATTTTTTGCTGTAATTTCACTAAATAGATTCTCTATATGTTTGGTTTGTAATCACAGTTCCTTCTACTATCCCGTGGCTTCTTGGGTTCAGTCCTTTGAGTTCTGCAATTCCTTCTTCCCCCTTCCCTTCTTTCTCTCTCCATCGGTGTTTGAGTGCTACATTTCCTTGACTTGTTCACCACCTACTCTGATATTCTTTCTCCTGATTGACTTTGATGTTTCTTTGGGGATTCATTGAGTTTTTCATATTCAACATTTTTTTCAGTTTCACTGCTGCATTTTTCTTCCCTCTTATTTTGTCATCTGTGTTACTGATTTTCTCATCCATTTGCTGATTGTCTCCACTCTATTATCTGGGCCCTTCCAGGTTCTGGATTGAATTCATTTGTTCACCTATATCCTCTTTAAAGTCAGTGAACATTTTTACTAAAAAAAAAAATCTTAGATCACCCTATGAGGTTTTATTTATTTTAGTGTAATTAAATTCAGTTACAATGACTTTAGAAATCATGTTTTTATGATGTTATTTGTATATCTGTTGGTTTACATATTTCTTCCTGATTTATTAGATAAACTTTTTATTGAAAGTCCACTCTTTAGAAATCAATCACTAACATCATGCAGAAAGAAAAGAAACTATGCTAATAGCATTAGTGTTAACTGTTAAGAGACAGAAAAGTACACTTGAAATTAATCAAAGGCCTGAATCTATCACTGATGACCAGAAAACAGAAAATCTCAAAGCTAATGACCAATGTCCCATGAAGCTAGAAGTTATTTATGGTAAATTTGGAAAGTAATAACTGAATGAGATAAAAGGAAGGATCTAGGGAAAGGAAAGGAGAAGCAAGGCTATCAAAATGAAAGGAAAATGAGTGTCGAAGAATGACAGGCAAAGGAAGGGAAGATAATCAGAAACTGTATGAGTGAAAAGGTAAGGAAAATACTCATGGACAAAATCAGATAGATATGTAAAATGAAAAATAAACATTTTTTAAATATTTAGCTAGTAAGACTAAAAGTATAGTAAAAAGAAAAATGAAGGGGAGAATGTAAAAAGCAAGGAGAAAGAAAGGATGACTTTAAAAAAAATTCCCAAATGATGAAAAATGTGTATACAAAATTAAAAGTATGAGCAGACATAGAAAGGAAAGAAAGGAAGGAAGGAAGGAAGAAAGAAGGAAAGAGAAAGGGAAGGGGAAGGGAAAAGGGAAAGGGAAGGGAACAGAACACAAATGACACAGGCATTAAGATCAACAATTAATAAATGTGATCTCATGAAACTGAAAAGCTTCTGTAAAGCAAAGGACACTGTCACTGGGACAAAGTGGCAGCATACAAAATGGAAAAATATTTTTACCAATTTCACATTGAATAGAGAACTAATATCCAAAATATGTAAAGAACTCAAGAAACTTAGTATCAAAAAAAAAAAACCCAGTAACCCAATTAAAAATGGGGTAAAGCTCTAAACAGAGATTATTCAATAGAGGAAACTCAAATGGCTAAGAAACACTTAAAGAAATGTTCCACATCCAAAGCCATCAGGGAAATGCAAATCAAAATGACTTACACTTGTTAGAATGGCTAAGGTCAATAACACAGGAGGCAGCTCATTCAGGTGAGTATGAGGAATACCGGAAACATTCCTTCATTGCTGGAAGAGTACAGCCACTATGGATATCAGTATGACAGTTCCTCAGAAAATGGGACTTGAGCTACCTCAAGACCCAGCTATACCACTCTTGGGCATATACCAAAAGGATGCTTCATCCTGCCACACTGCTCAATTATGTTCACTGCTCTTTTATTCATAATAGCAAGACATTGAAATTCTAGATGTCCCTTAATAGAAGAATGGATAAAGAAAACTTGGCACATTAACTCAATGGAGTGTTACTCAGTTGTTTAAAAACAATTACATCGTGGCAATTTCTGGCAAATAGATGGAACTAGAAAAAGGTCATTCTGAGTGAGGTAACCCAGACTCAGAAAGATAAATGTGGTATGTATTTGCTTTTATCTCTGGATATTAGCCATTAAATAAATGATAACCAAGCTACAATCTGTAGACTTGGAGAGGGTAAACATAGAGGAAAAGACAAAGAAGAACCCATGATTCTCCTTGGGATGGGGAAGTAGAATAAACTTTATGAGTAGACTGAAGCCAGGGTGGGGTGGGAAGGGGGGACAAGAACTGGAGGATTAGGTGAGAAGGGGGAGGAAAGATGGAAATGAGTGGAGAGACAGCTAGGACTGAGGAGCATTTGAGGAACATTTGGGGGCAGTGTGGAACTCTAGTGCAGTGGAAACTACCTATAATATACAAAGGTGGTCCTATGATGTCTCCAAATATTGATGGAGTCAGAACTCCTACTGATCATCTCGTCACCAAATAAAATTTCCAGTGCTAAGACTAGGTTTCATCCAATTAATTTGTTGACCAAAGGCAGAGGGAGAGGGAGAGAGACAGAGAGAGAGAGACAGAGAGAGAGAGAGAGAGAGAGAGAGAGAGAGAGAGAGAGAGAGAGAGAGAGAGAGAGAGAGAGAGACCATTGCACACTCAGCACTAAATGGGATGTCTACATCAAATCCCTCCCCTCAGATCTCAGGGAACCCTATGGAAGAGGATGCAGAAGGAGTTGGCGAGACAGAGAGAACAGAAAACACCAAAGGACAAGGCCCTCTGAATCCACTGAGGAAAGTTCATATGAACTCCGAGACTGACCCAGCAAGCAGAGGACCTCCAAGGGTCTGTTCCAGATCCTCTGCATGTATTCTAGAGCATTCAGTTTAGTACTTTTATGGAACTCCTGGATGTGTAACAAGTGGGTCTCTAATTACTGTGCCTTCTCTTGGGGCTCTTTTATTTTCCTGTTAGCTTGGCTTGTCCAATTTTAATATGATGGTTTTTGTTTTATCTTATGTTTATTTGGTTATGTTTGGTTGTTATTTCCTAGAAGCCTGTTCTTTTCTAATGAGAGATGGAAATGGAACAGATCTAGATGGCAGAGGAGGTGGGAAGCACCTGGGGAAGAGTAGCAGGAGGGGAAACTGTATTCAGATTAATAATAATAATAATAATAATAATAATAATAATAATAATTTTTTAAAAAGAAGACCTGTGTTCATACTATTAAGACTTCCTGAGTACCAATTTTAATCACTGCTATCCTGGCTATACTGGATGTTGCTATACATGTTCAGTATCCCACGGAGTCTTCATGCACTACAGTAGTGAACACAGGTAGGGGATGAAGGGACACCAGCCCACTCAATCACCTGGCTCTGCCAGGCCTTACTCTACTCCCCATTCCATCTTCCTTACTAAACCATTAGATTACAGTCCTAAACTAGCCACCAAGGTGATGGGGAATGTACTGTGTATGTTCATCTTATTGATTATCGAATAAAGTACTTGTTTGGCCAATGAGACAGCAAGTTAGACAGGACTAGGAGTCAAAGAGGATTCTGTGAAATGTAGTAGAGAAGTGGTTATCCAGGCAGGAAGTGACATAGCAAGGAGACTCATATTTAGACATAGCAAGGAGAAACAGGAAATGTCCCCTTTCCCCTTCACCTCCTCCAGTGGTGGGATGTGAGCCACTGGCAAGAGAGGGTGCCAGCGAAAGGCATCCTCTATAAGTCTTATAAAATATATAGATTTATGATAATTAAGACTGAGCTAACAGATGAGAATCCTAGTCATTGGCCAAGCAGCATTTGAACCTAATACAAGCTTCTGTGTATTAATTTGGACCCTAACTCAGGTGGGCGCTGGCGTAAAGCACATGCATGGCAGTGGGGCTCTGCGGCTTTTGGCAGAAAGATTTATTGTAACACCAAGGTCTATTTCCTTATTTGACCACATCTTCCCCCTGAGTCTGACTACCAAATTCCAGCTATCA